CAACTGCCCGCCTCTTGTTAATGTCGGCTTTGATTCCAGGATATTGGAGCACAGTACGCTCAGTACAGGTAGTTGTTTCTTTACAACTTGCGACATGTCGCGGTTAGTGATCGAAATACTCGGAGATGTACAGCAGGAAACCGGAGGTGTTGGCACTAGAGCAGCTCCGCTACGCTCCTCAGTTTCCGATCCAGTTTGGGGTTATGTTAATTTCAAATGATGGATCTTCTTGGATGCAACCGTATCCCAACTTTCCCTAGTACTGGCTTGCTCTTTTTCTACCCACTCCGTCTGGAGATTGGAAGTAGCCTTACGGGTAGTTACGCCGATCGAACTGGGAACCGCATTAGTCAAATGTGCACCACATGTGATATTGGAACAACAGTTGATGTTCTGGGCTCTTGGTGTCGTGATGCTTACGGTGATACTAGCAATCTTCTCGGGATAGGAGCAGCACTTAGGGAAAGGATTGGGTTGCACAGTCCGCTATGCTTACCCCAACCGTGGTGATTTTGCTGGTCACCATTTCCTCAAACTGCTCGTACTTCTGATATAATAGGAGCACGCTTTTTGCCAGTGGGATAGATGTGTATTCCACTCGAAACCATAGAGAATCTGGTTTGTTTAACTCAAAGGCATCTCGCATGGAAAAACTTGCAACAGTTACGGCACAGAATGCCCCCCTTAACCAGTTTGGAACATGATCCACACAGGTCTTTAGACTGTGGCACCCTGGGCATCGCGCTTAATGAGGAAATGTTACGAACCATTTGTATGACTCACCCTCTGTGGTAAAACGCTGTCCTGTTACTGTCGTTGTCGGCAAGGTCACAGTGTTCACGTTGTAGTTGTGTGCTCGCAGACTGTCCTCTCTGACTTGCCAGTCGAATGTGTCCGCGTGAACGTGGGGCAGATTACACGAGGTGTGGTTGAGAATTTCCGTGGTTAAGCCTATAGATCGCGCCGGATGCATTTGCCCTATGTCCTGTAGCTGCTTCAAGCAACGTTGGATTTGGACGAGTGACAGTTTGTTCGAAAGCCGTTGAAATGGTCTATCTAGTGAGACCAAACAATGTCTCCGATGGTTGGCGTCACACAACTTTTGGCGCTTGCATATCGGCAAAACACTGCCCGGAACTTATAATTCATGACAAATGTAGAATTCATTGGAGTGTACTCGAGAAAATACTATTACAAGGTGAAGCTTTTAAAAGCACCATGAATAACTATAGATCCAATGGTGTGCGACAAAATGCTGCTGAGCTAAAGTGAAAATCCACGAGTGCACAAGTGAGCTATTTGCGCGCACCTTCGCTCAAGGTCACACTTTCTGTGGGCTGTGTAGCTAATACCACACGTGATCTCTCACAGTTGGCAAACACGCTATGTGATGTTTCGCACACATCATGACGGGTGTATTTTGAACCCGACGATGTCTCACTGTCCCGCCTGGTCGACGGTTACGAAGGCTTCTGTTGGTGAGGAATCAACGTGGTCTGCGTACATTCATGGGCTCGTTCTTGTTTTTTTCAGTGGTGCCGTTCTCCACGTGCTCCGACAACATTTTCGGTGGTGCCATGTCAGGTCTGCAGCTCCATACGTCTCCCATTACACAAAACCGGTCTGGAACAAGCCAACTCACAAGTACATTTGCAGGATAAAATTTGCTGTATTGGCTCCAACCACCTCACCGTTGGTACTCGACCTCTTTCAACACCGTTCTTCTTCGGCTGAACCGGACGGTATGCGCAACGAGAACTAGTTTCGCCTGTCGCCCTGCGTGGCTCGTCTGATGTGCAAGAAGAAGCTAGTACAGGTTCTTCAGCTTCCCTGGCCAGCGAAAACAGAAGATGCTTTGGTCGACTGCCTTAAGTCAAACTCCAAGGCGTAATTCATCTTTTCCTCTCCGTCACTGACCCTCACGTTATCTATGCATTCTGAACTACACTGTTACAAATGCAAGCACTATCGTTGGGCCTCAAGTTCTGTCACCCACGTAGAAAAGATCATCGACTGGACTCAAACCCAGTTTGAACATTGCAACAATCAAACGAGTGACTTAGTAGCCACCTCAGATACAGATCTTGAACAATTTAAGTCAGACCTAGTCAACATCTGTTTTCAGTATCAACGGTTTCCAACGACGCATCCCCGATTATTACCGAAGGCACACCTTGAAGCTGTAAGAGAGCTTGAACGAAGATATTATCATCACCAGACCAGAGAAGGTGTCGGAAACGGTGATCATTGATCGGAGAGAATATGTGTAAGGTCTATAAAACGTGAACAGAGGAAGGATAAAACAGAATATACGGAAACACAACTAACCAACTGTTTGAAATCACTGCTAACTGATGGCTATATAACTAAAGAAAGGTTTGAAAAGCTAAAACCAATCAGCTCTATTGTTCTAAGGCTGTATGGTCTCCCAAAAATACACAAACCGGGGATACCGCTGAGGCCAATATTCGTTATGAAGAGCTCACCGTATCACAACGTCAAAAAATAGCTGGTAGCTATACTGGACCCTATCGGGAAGATGATTGCCACCCACCATCTAAGTGACACCTTCCAGTTTGTCGATAATGTTAGAAACTTAAACATGTTAGACTGTCGCGTCTTATCACTAGTCGTGGTGTTGCTATTCGCCAATGTCCCACTACTAGAGACAGTCAAATTTCTTTGAACAACTGGACAAGGACGGAGATACCAACTGCTCCGTTGAAACAACTCTTGCTCAGGTGCACGTACAACGTTTTATTTCGGTTCAACAATGAATTGTACACACAGATAGACGGAGTAGCAATAGGATCTCCTCTTGGTCCACTTTTGGCCGACGTCTACATAGGCATGTTGAAGGATAGCCCGTTGAAACCTGTTATTTCCACCTTCAGGTTTTACCGACGATACGTAGACGATATTTTTGGCATAATAGACCAGACGACCAATTTACAGGATGTCGTCAAATGTTTCAACAAGGCACATCCCAATGCTACATTCGCAGTAGAAGAAAGCAACAATTGTCTGAGTTTCTTGGGTGCATGTCTAAAGAGAAGATTTGATGGAGCAATCCAGTTGGCGTTGTACAGGAAACCGTACCGGATGGGACAGTACACGCATTTTCTGAGCCTCGTACCTCTCAGTCGAAAATGAACACTGGTGGATACGTTGACTTACCGTGCACGTAAAATATGCAGCGAAGACATTATTGCAGATAAATTGAGGCGAATCAAGAACACTTCTTGAAAATAGTTATCCAGAACGCTTCAATAACATCCAGATGAAACCCAACGACCCGAGGCCCATCACACAAACGGCTATTCCTCAAACTCCCCTTTAAAGGTGACCAAGCAGCTGAGGTATGTACGCAAAGATTGGTACAGTCCTGTAGCAAGACCTTCAACTCAGCCCACTTCAATGTGATCTACATGAGCGAATCGCGTTGTTCCTAGATTCAAAGTCGTATTACATGATCAACTGCATTCAATGGTGCTCTGCTGTTTCACCTGATCCTGTGGGGCTAGGTATATTGGACGCACGATCAGACACTTAGAAAAGTAAATCAAGAAACACCTACCGAATTCGCTCATTTACCGGGATGACCGAATTAATTTGAGTGCCATAACTAACCACCTGATTATTACAGGACACCATGTTGACAAGTGTAATGCCTACAAAATTGGATACAAAGCACCATCCCACTTGAACCATCAGCAAGGTTTCTAGCTACACCTGAGACGATCAGCATAAGATTGTCAAGACCAAGCTTCTGCATCCAAAAGAAACTTGTTCACGCGTTGGCCAATAGCTTTACAGGAGAAGAGCAGCTTTGGCCCAACATCGTCACGTGCCTTCTATCACGTGATTACCGCCCGACGTACATCATGAGAGCTTTTTGTTTTTATCTAAGCGACGATTTACTTCTGTACTGTCCTAGGGACTTGATCTTGAACTACCTTTCTCTAATAAGCCTAATGACAAAGAAATCGAAAACGATTGTTTGCTTTATGTGTTCCGCATGCGTTTTTCTCGAATCTGCCAAACTAACTGGGTCGATTTTATTTTTTAGTCCCTATACCTGTTTGTAATGGTCTGATGATGAATCATTGAAAACAATTGCTCCTCAGATGGTCTTTTGTACTCCCCACTTGTTGCATTCTTCTGATTTACTTCAAGTGCTGTATCGTTGGTATGGATATGATACCAGCGCTATTATCTTCGTAAATCCCGTTATTTCCCAGACGTATCCATTTAACAGCCTTTCCAGCCTCCCATTTCTACCAGTTCCGTCTGTATCCCTTTTACCCCACTTTTACGCTTTTCGTATTCTCTATCTTCGATTACGGCGCCATGGCAAATATGCCAAATACGCGATACAGAACAATTTCTATTTGTTATGCTTCACATATGTTCTTCAGGCACAAAATGGCAGTTTCAACTTTCTTACTGATCATTCCTTCTATCGTCGCACTGTACTCGAACAAGTTCTACTTGACTTCTCTCCAAGTCAGTAGTCGCCTGTGGCCTTTCATCTTCAGTGATATTTCAAATTTACGTCCCTCTTCCGGTTCTCCTGCCTCCTATGATGCTGCTCTCCCGGGTTCGACCTAGTTGTTGCCCCCTAAATCACACAAAATTCATGAAAAATACGTAGATTCATCGTCATTCGACTACTAAGGTTTGCATCCGTATACCACTAGTTTGTTCTTTGCACCGATTCGGACTCACGTCAGCTCTCCTTTGTTACTTTCTGAGGCCACTAGAATGTAATCACCGAATTTACCTCAAAGCGATCTCATGGGATTTCCCAGCGTTTTATTACGGTCGGTACAGCATGCATTTTTTCGCCTGGCAGTGTGCGTTTCCGTGAGCCGAATTGACCACCGCGATGTTCGGCATCTGCATTTAACTAGACTTTTATTTCACAGGTGACAACACCTACGTCACTCCCCTAGCTGATGAGCAGTACCTTAAGTTCTTTCGCTTTTTCCTTCCCTCAGGGCATTGGTATCTCGGTGGAGTTCTGTGCCCACATTGTTCGTGCGTTCACCATAAGCGTCGAACCAACACGGCTTGCTCGAGCCAAAGCATCATTGGCAGACATGGGCAGCTCTGTGAGTTCGCTTTATTTTCTCTTTTGTCGTTTTCCAACTCTGCATTCATTCCCGTTAACTAACTTTCGAAGAGGTGAGCATCATTCGCAGTTCATATCCTACGGGAGATCCGAGTAACAGCGAAGTTCGCCCTTTGGGACTTGACGACAAGCTCTTTGGTCACATGTAGCACTGCCTACCAAAATCGCCTCGACTCTGCTAGCTCGACCATGTGCTCCGCATGTCTGAAAATCGATTGCTTCGATGTGCGTATTGTTTGCTAATACTGAACCTGTTGGGTGTAAGTCAGAAGCGGTCAGTCAGCCACACGACAGATAAGTGCAAAGAAACTCATCTAAAAGTCAAATTGGTTTGGTTCTTGTAGCCTTCCTGTATTTAGCGCCTCATCGGATATGATGGAGTCACAGAGTCAGTGTCGCTCTATTTAACTCCTCTTTTACCTCGGTCTCTTGACGAACTCTACTTGCAATTCATCCTCCTTGAGTTATTATCAACATTATTATTTCGGCCACTGATCAAAGTTACTAAACTGAATTAAAACAATTAAGTCACTAAAGCACAGGTTACTTCTTTGAACCGATGGGAAAATGATGTTTCCCGCCTGTCCATCACCCAAGACCCAAGCCCATGCGATTGTATTAAACTTCGTGGGCGATCCGCAACTCTGCAGCATATTTGACTTATTCTGCTTATCAGATTGGGTCTTCTTCGCTGATATTACCTTTCTTATTCATTGGCTTGTGTCCCCATTTCCACTCCGCAGATTCTTCGGGGTATCACACTGACCAAACTGGGCGGCATCGTCGTATTGGGCTTCTCCAAATCGCGGCTTTTTCAAGTGTTCTATTTCCGCATGTATTTAGGAATCATTGTTTTTGGAGCCTACACTGGTCTCATCTTCCTACCGGTGGTTCTGAGCTACATAGGTAAGAAAAAGTTATCTACCTACCGATCCGCTAATCATGCTTGCACCATTCGTCTATTTGCTGTGCCTATGCGTGGATACTGTAAACAATAACCCTCTTTCGGTCGAAGGAAAACCAACAGATTTCCGATTACTGGCATTAAATCACTAGCCTGCTTAAAGCTTCCCACTGCTCTTCAAAAGTTTAGAAACTGTCATAAGGAGATTATCACGGCCCGCAGCCGGTACCAGTAATGTTTCCACCGTCGTTTCCTAACCTTTCAAGACGCGTATGGGGCCATGTGTGTGGGGTTGCGTATGGTGTAGAGGAGTGAAAGCCACGAGAAGCGTTTGTATTGTTTCTTTGACTCCCTCCCTCTTAGCTTTCCTCTTCAACCACGATTTTGCAACCAATGTATAATATGATGCTAAGCATTATATTTGTTTTTTTCTTTATTTGGGCTCTGGGATATTTAGTATTCCATTTTGTATTTACCTCTTCTTCTGCTATTCCGGAACCTTAGCTAAAGATTTTACACTTCCAGCTAACGTGTAAAGATGATGATGTTGATGAGGCAATATGGGGTTGATTATGATGTGGACTAGTGAAAGCGACCAAGCGATTGTCTCACAGGTTCTATCTTATCCCAACGATATATTGCGAGCTGTTTTGTTCATGCTACTGTTGACGAGTCATCGACACTTCGATATCAATATTTGCTTAGCGTTTAGGTTCTTTATCAGGTGCCCCTACATTCAAACTCCTTATTAGCGAGTTATCTCTCAGCCTGCCAGTCCCAATTACCGCATCACCTTTATCGTTGTTGATGTTGACGACACCTCATAAATGTTCATCACTATAAATGATTTGGGTAACACAAATGTTGCAAGATTGTACATGGACCGGTTTGTATGAACACTTCAGCAGTTTTACACCAGTTTATTACAAACTATGCCTTGTCAAAACGTTGTTCAATCGGGCCCGCAAGATATGCAGTATGGGATGCATCGAGGCTGTATTAGAATTCATTACGCAGACTTTACGGTCAAATGACTACCCAGAAGCTTTCGTAGCCTTTCCGCGGAAAGTAAACAGCCGTTCGTTCTTTCCGCACCAAAAATGCCTGTTTATTTGCGACTACCCTTCAAAGGTGATGTTGGCTAGGCAGTTGGAATGACGCACAGCAGTTGCAATACAACATGCATGCGGTACCGCTAAATTCTGCCTTCTCTGGACAACCAAGAAGCTACCACTGCCCCCAGCTAAGCTTACTAGGCCGGTCTCCGCCACAACACAGTGGTTTTATCAATTTTTTTCTAACTGTGGAGGCAATTACTTCAACAGGACAGACAGTTGCTTGTGCAAACGGATTGAGGAGCCCATTCCGAAGCGTGTCGTTACCTTGACAAGGCAGCCACAAACTGAACTTGTGTCGACGAACAAAATACCTGCCTCCTCGATTGCAAAACACTTGGTGGAAACGGGTCATCAGGTCGACCCCAACTCGTCGTTTACTGCCACCTATCGTAACACAAACGCCAGTGTCCTCAAGTTTGCAGAGGCAGTGGTCATATAAATGTATCCCCCAACATTGTGCGTCCAGAAGCAACTGTTCTTTACACTGCAACTCCCTTGTAGTTAATCATACCTCCTTAACTTGTAGCCACCGTTTACTTCGTTTGCATGAGACATTTCGATTTGAAGTGATTGGTTTTTCTCACCTTATCATTTGCTATGTTGCCCATTTGCAATTGAACAGAAAGCACCATCTTGCAACATTCATTTTCTTATTGTTTCTATTCAAATCAATACAGGGAACTCAATGCTACAAACTATCAGTGATGTTGCGATGCGGTTTTTCCCCCTTCTCACTAGTTATTCTGCGTTCGCATTCTATATTTTACATTCTCGCTACTTGATGGTTTGTGCACACTTATAGGAACGCGCTGCGCCTCCGAAGATTAACAGTGCTCGTCTGTGAATCACTGATTAATGACCTCTCTGCTCGTGATTCCAGTTTTTGGAGTAGCTCGACTTGCCTACAACTACTTGTGGTTGTGTGGTAACGGGAGGCCTTACTTTGAAGCGTTGCTGTACTGTTGGTTCCTATTTCCCATACAACGGACTATTTCACCGCATCATTCCAACACCTAAGTAACGCTGTCTTAAACCCATGTGAAATCAGAACCAATTGTGGAGCAGTGGAAGTATATCTTGAGACCGACTAGACTTGCAATGTATGCAGGCGTTCGGCATCCAACTTAGCGAGCAGCAGTGTGCGCTGCGTTCTACCTTACGCTGGATCGTACTGCTATCAGATGGGCCAATGAGCGCAGTGCATGTAAGAGACGAATCACACACGGCTTGATTTACAGGCACGCACTCACAAGATATCTACTAAGGACACGTCACTCTGTCAGTTATCAGACTTCCTCATTGGTCTGGACATCGTCCTCATTTTTATCCGCCATCCTCCGTGATTCGGGCTATCGGCCAGATGGCGCACCGTTTCCTTAGCTCCATCAACCCTAACTGTCTGAACCATCTCACGGTACACTTCCTGGCGTCAAAATGCTTCCCGGTAGACATCACATGGTAAATTAACGTACCTATTCGCAGTCCATGCCATTAGGCGTCGGCCCATTCTCTTCCTGCCTTCATTCCATACTGTAAATGTTGCGTTACTTTATGCTCAGCATTTTTGGTGCTGTGTGCACTTCATAATCGTGTTCCTCCTTGCCATGAGAAGGCCATTGGTTTTGTCTCGTCGTCCACTGCAATACATCGCCTCAGCGTGGACTCTTTTCCTGTGAGTTTGTCTGCCCATAACTGCTCCGCTTTTTTATCATCATCATCATTTCGGGGTCCAACTCCATCGCTGTTTCAGGTCCAGGGCTGAACAAGGCGCTAGCACACAGGCATACGAAACGTCTGCTCGAATGTGACCTCGTGGAGCACGTGACCGATGAAGATGATCACCGGAATCGCTGATTCGTTCACTTGGGAGTACTGGTTTTGAATCGGCGCCCATCTGTGATCGGCTCGAATTACTGCACTACCTTCCTTCTCTCATTATATATCTTTTCTACTCATTTTGATTCGATCTATTTTGTAAATCCATTTATTTGTCGTCCATCTTTTTGATTTTCATCCATTAATTATGAACGCTCATCTCCTGGCTCCGGTTGTCCTAATGTTCGCTTCATTTGCGAGCAGTTCGCTTTACCTTCGACGCAAACGTTTTTACTTTACTATCCCCACCCTCACTTCCTCTCAGAAACGATCTATTACCCATGCATATAAACATACATATTCATCGTCAATATCCCCCCTTCATGTTCCTTCATCTGTCGAAATTAACCGTATGATCATTTTGAGCTAAGCATATGTTCGTCATGTGGCCTGGAATATTTTCCTGTTATCGTCACGATGAGTTAATGGCTTTACTTACCAGCTAGGCTTAATCCGCTTACATGAGCAATTCAGTTGATTAGATGTGGTTCATTCACGAAGGGCAATGACTTCAGCTGCCATACGTCGCGTTACTGTAGTAACAATATAAATAAATAAACGGTATATTCTCGCTAAAACGAGACACACCGGTGAACGCGTGATCAAATATGCATACAAACATGGTGGCTTTGGCATAGTAAAATATCTTGTTTCAATGAAATGTATAACCGAAATGTTCGTAGTTCATACGGATGAACGTTTTGTCAGGTAATAGTCCGACCCTGGAACATGATGGTGCTGGGGTGCGGAAAAAGCAGTCATAACTGTTGTGTCAATATTCAAGTTCGGCGTGATTTCGCCATGTAGCAATCCATGAGCACAGGAGCCAAACTAAGAGTTTGATGCAATCGTTGTCCATTCAAAGCTCGGAATGTTCGGTGCTCCATCAAAGTATCCTCTATGGCTAAATCGCTTGCACAGGTTTTATGTAGAAGTCGGATGACTGCGTCACTGTGAAATGTTCAGCTGTGACTTTATTCAGTGACGAGTCATGTCCGCCACATCGCAGTGTTGTTAAGCGGAAACTTGTGGCTTTTTATAGGGAGAACGGTCGCCAAGCGAAAATCCACCATGTGCTGGAACACTGCCTTAGGTTGGTTTGAGCAGTCGTGCAAGCCGGTGACGCATCGTACAGACCGATTTTGCACTCTGTTATTCGCAGTCGGTTGACGGTCAAATTTCTTCGTTACTCGACCGATTGGCTTGGTACTGATCCGGCAGTAGTCGTTGAAACCGGTCAAAGATGCAAAAGCGTTCTAGCGTCGAATGGTGAAGGTGAGTAACAATATTGTTAATAGAGGCTGGCTTCTGTGATATACTTGTCCGGGTTGTGCATACCATGTCCAGCTATCCACGCTGGACTTGTCATGGGGATGTTGAGTGCAGTTGCTCCTTGTGGCTGAATACCTCCATAACAGGCTAAAATGCCATTCCTTTGTCCAATGTGGGATCGTTACAAATTTCTTAGTTTGCAAAATAGGATAAGAATTCCTTCAAACGCAAGTAATAATTGGGTGCAATTGTCTCCATAGTCAAGTGAAAACTCTGTGAAAGGCCATCCGAAAAGCTGCAACTAACTGGATATAAGTGTCCTGCCGTAGACCGACTCTGCTGGTGCGCACTGCAGGTCAACTTTTCCGCTGCTGCGAATGCCTAGAAGTATTAACGGAATGTTTTCGCTTTATTCAGGGTCAGAAGTGGCACAGAGAGATGGATGCCGATGGAAGCGTTCGACTAAGCCACTCGCCGCAAGGTGATATGCCCTCGTGTGGATACGACGACAGCCCAAGAAGTTGCAGAACGTATCGAATTGCGAATATCCGAAAGGCTTTCCACGGTCGGTAAGGATGGTGGATGGGCATTCGTGGTGGGACACCTAACGGTCCAAAAACGCACTAATGACTGTTTCGGCCGTACAGTCTGGTACAGGGATGACTTCTGGTCATCTAGTGAAGCGGTGGACATATATCAGTAAGTGTACAGATCCGCGAGAGAGAGGTAAGGGTCCTACTAAGTCCAACTGTAAATGAGAGAACCGCGAATCCGGCGCAGGGAATGAACCGAGAGGACTATGGGTATGTCGATGTACCTTGGACCGCTGACAGTGAAAACAAGCTCAAGCCCAGTTGCGAACGTCTTTGTTTACGCTTGGCCAAACGAAAGGCTCGGTAATCAGTTTTAAAGATGCCCGAATACCAGGATGAGACGGTGTGAAGGGAGTCGAAGACTGTACAACTGAAATAGGTGGGAACGATGGGTCTTGGACAACCTGTGGAAGTGTCACAAAGGATAGCTCCGTCCGTAGTTTGGAGTGGAACGGGTTGCACATGCAGTGAAATTGGCTACAGGGTGCGTTGGAGGTCTTCATCTTCGGTCTGAACCGATGACATGGCGAGATCGACAGAAGGCAAAGAGTGAGAAATGAGGTTAACGCCAGAGGTAGAGTCAGCTTCCTCAGCACTGAATTGTTTGACAAAGTCTATATGGCTAGTTTCCCGTGGGGAATATTTATCAGCTGATGAATTGAAGGCGAATATGAGGGACTTGTGGTCAGTTTAGATTGTGAAAGCCCGACCTAATGTGTCGGAAGTGACCGATAGCTAAGTAGATGACAATCTGTTCTCAAGTGAACGTGCTGTAGCGGGATTCCGCTGGTTGCAAGCGTTTGGAAAAGAAACCGGGTGGTTGCCATTGTCCATTGTGTTGTTGCAGAACAGCTCCTACCGCAACGTCTGAAGCGTCAGTTGTCAAAGAAAGGAGAGCAGGCGGTTCGGAGTGAGCGAGAAGAGCTTTGTTGGTGGTGGCCTCTTGGAGAGCAAAATTACGTTCGTTTCCTCTAAGGAGGTCAGTCAGGGACTATATGAGTTGAGCGCAGCAGGCGAGGTAGTAGTTGACTAGACCACAAAATCGGTGTAAGTGCTTAAGTGAAGTCGTGGCTGAGAAGTCTGATGGATTGGACCTGCTCCACAAGAACCTCGATGCCAACTGATGTGACGAGGTGGCCTAAGAATTCTACCGAATACTTGCCTAGTTCGCACTTAGTCGGATTAACGGTTACGCCGTGTTGGGTCAGCCGCTGGAAGAAGGACTGAAGATTAGCTAGATGCTCTTCGTCGAGCGGACTGGCCACTAGAATGTCATCGAGATAGGGGTAAGCGAAATCTATGGCACTGGTGACATCGTGGATGAAGTGTTGAAAAGTCTGTGCAGCGTTGTACTGTCCAAAAGACATTTGCAAAATTTCGAACAAGCCAAAAGGAGTGGTGACGGCTGTTTTAGGTATTTCAGCTTCCTCGACTGGTATCTGGTGATAGTCGCGAACAAGATCAATCTGGTTAAATCCCATCTTACCTGTAAGGCATGCAGTGAGGTACTGCATGTTTGGGATAACTTACTTATTGGGAAGAGGAAGCTTGTTTATTGCCCGGTACTCATCGCGAAGACGCCAGTCCCCAGACTTCTTTGGGATCATCAGGAGTGGAGGGGACCAGGGAATATCTGAAGGACGGACTATTCCTAGTTCGAGTATGTGCTCAAACACCGCTTCAGCTAGCTTGAGTTTCTCCGGCGAAAGACGGCGCGGGCGTGATGAGACGGGTGGGCCGTTAGTTCGAATATGGTGCGTGACATGAGATGATACGGGACAGTGTGAGCGACAGATTCGCTTCGGGTGGCTCGAGTGACGCGTAAAATCTTCCGGGTCCAACCAAGGAAAGAAGCCGAGAAGTTAACTACGGTACTATTCAAATAGTAATCCAAATACTATATAAATAAATAACTGGTATATTCTCGGTAAAATGACGCACACCAGTGAAAGCGCGATCAAATATGCGTACAAGCATAGCTACTTTGGAATAGTAGAACCTCTTGTTTCAATGAAAGATATAACCGAAATGTCCGTAGTTCATATGGGTGAGCGTTTTGTCAGGTAATTGTCCGACCCAGGAACATGATGGTGCTGGGGTGCGGAAAAAGCAGTCATAACTGTTGTGTCAATATTCAAGTTCGGCGTGATTTCGCCATGTAGTAATCCATGAGCACAAGAAGCAAAGTAAGCTTTCGTTGTAATCGTTGTCCATTCAAAGCTCGGAATCTTCGGTGCTCCATCAAACATTCTCCATAGCAAAATCGGTTGCACAGTTTGTATGTAGAATTTTGATGTCTGCATGAGTATAAAATTTTCAACTATGACTTCGTTCATCGGTGAATCACGTTACAGGGTTCTTAAACGAACCTTTGTGATATTTGTTAATGATTGTTATTAAAAGACCGCTGCAAATGAAGTAAATTTGCATCACCTCAGTTCAAATAATTTAGACTGATACCAGTGCAGTTAGTACCAACACCATGTCGGATCTACTCTTCATCCAAATAGTGAGACTCGACATATTTCTCATCGTGGCAGGTGTTGTTGGCACTTATCATTTACCTGCAGGTAGCGCCATCTTCCTACATGGACAATGATAGCTGTCTGTGTTCGTTTCTGGCATCTTGTATGCTACACCGCATTGCGTTTTACTGAAAGATACGTACCTGACAGATCCTAGTGAAATCAACTGCGTCCCGTGCGGATCAGTCTGCCGACGGGTTTCTGCATGGCTTGTTGTATCGAGGTTCTAAGGAACCATGCATTTAACACAAGCCAATCAAAAGACGCCAGCTAGTCGAAATAAGTGATGCGTGTTCAATAGGTGCTACACTGTAGAGCGACTAAGTGTACATCCACACACCAACCAAGTACATTCAGTGTTACTCTTTCGGCGCCCACGCTACACATGGGCGATATACTGCAGTCATTGGAAGTTGACATCGAGGTCGGTCTTCCAAGTGCTTCTGTGCACAGTGGGAAATTGCATTACCGCTTTGCCTCATTTTTGCGTCCTTTTTATAAAATGCAGAATAAATCACTTTGTGGTTCGTTCCTGTTCGAAAATTGTTGGGCACACGGCAAATGCCCTTGCGTGTTCGGATTGTTGTGCTAGATTTCATCTTTTGTGTGTTGTGTTACCTACTGATTCATATCTTCTCCGCTTTTCATTCAACGCAAATTTGGTGGCTGTTGGCAACATGGTCCATCATCGTAGCACATGAATTGCCTGAAGAAGATAGGTGGAGTTGTTTTTGCTAATGGTGACCTTATCGCAGCGGCAGCAGACTTCGTACTCGGTATTTCTCTATCTAAATATACACTTGCTGGTAGATACCGTGGGATTATGTACAGCCGCATCGGTGGGGTGCAGGATGAAGTCTACATCGGGTTGCCATGGTTTCACTAACTATTTATGATTTTCTATCTGAACTGCAGAAACGCACTTCCCCCAACAGAATCAAACATCTGAAGGTCGTAAATCTGACGCTGCGAGTACTCTCCCGCCTTGAAGTCAATGATCTACCCACGGTCTATCGAACACTTGGAACTGAT